GTGTTTTTAGGGGCTGATCTGTTCAAAAATTGAACATGTCTTCCCTCTAACCCCTTGATCAAACAGATATGAAACACAGCTCTGTAGCTCAGTCACCTCTGAATGGTTCTCATTCCCCTTGAGTGTTTTAGAGGATTATGTCATAAGGCTGGAAGCAGATCATACCTCTGTGATGGAAAATATTTGGATATAACATTTGTCTGTGCTTTATTTTCTTTGTTTTGGTTTCTTCACTATGGTTACTGTAAACAGCCTGTTTTATAAATTATGACTTGGCAATTTTTCAATTAAAAGAAACAGTAAATTGCTAAAGAAAGGGAGGGGGCAGGAAATAGAAGCAGTAAAACATTAATCTGAACATATGGTGACCATATTTCCTGACAGAAAAATTAGTACATATAATCTGACCAGTGTGTCTATCTGGGGACAATGTATTCCTAGTCTCTTGGCATGTCTAATTAGTCAGTTTTCCTATTTCTAGATAAAATATCCCACAAATTAAAGGTAGGCAGGGGGTTTATTTGGCTTATGGCTTCAGAGAATTCAGTCCATGGTAGGCTGCTCCAAGGCAAAAAGATCATGGTGGAAGGGCATGGGGGAGCAAAGATGCTTAGCTCAGTGTTACCAGGAGACAACAGAGGAACAGTGCCAGAGAGGGCCCAAAGTCATACTTCCATGACCTACCTAGACATGCTCACAGGTGTTCTTTACTAATCTTCTGGGTGGCTCCCAAGCCAATCAAGTTGGCAGTTAAGCTAAACTGTCATAGCATGTGTAGTCTATAGTCCCAGTCAGGCATTAGAATAAGAAATCTACTTGAGCCCCTCCATTGGTACTTTCAGAAAACATCACTGGACCTTTGTGGAGGTTTAAATTCCTCCACTCTTGCTATCAAGAGAATATTAGCAGAGAAGGAACATTTGTCCTACTGTTTCTTGTGACTGCACTAGCAGGTTTCAAGTAAAACCTTGACCAAAATTAGAACGTTTTGGGAGACTGTGTTTCTTATGTGAAAACTTTAAGAGAACACCCATATGGTCACTAAGAGCTCCAGATTGCACGTATTTCACACTAACCGTGGTATATACTAATAAATTGATTAAAATCAGGGTTCATTCTTACTAGTTCATTGTACTCTGCCTGCTTGAAACGGATTCATGATGAATTCTGTATTAACAAAAAAAGGGAGAATGGGCAGAACCCAAAGCACTTTCAGGACAGTGAAACTACTATATGATATAAATCATATATGTGTGTATAAATCATTATATGTTTACCTAAACCCATAGAATGTACAACACAGAGTGAATCTTGTGTAATCTTTGGACTCTAGATGATAATTCTGTGTAAATGTAGCTTCATCAGTTGTAACAAAAATATCACAGTGGTCGGGATACAGGCAGTAGTTGAAGCTATGCACGTGTGGGGCATGAAAAGTATAGAAAATCTCTTCCTTTCTTTCAGTTTTGCTGTGCATCTAAAACTACTCTAAAAATAAAATTTTTATGAAAAAAAAGAAAGATGTCTATAGTTAGTAAGAAACTTGAAAAAATCTACTTGTATAGATTTCTTCTTAACTGTAGGTTCTCAGCTCCTTTTAGGCTTTTACATGTCTATATATTTTTAGTGTTCCAGTGGTTGGGAACATTTTTATGACAATGAAGTCGTTTCATAAAGACTAGCTTTATAGAAGTGTTCTGTCTCTATTTTAATTTGCCTGACAACTTCAACTTTTATCCTGTCCATATTGGAAAAGACGACTAATACTGAATGATTAAGAATCGTGTCTTAGATTTCCTCTTTCTATTTGTATGCCACAAGCTCATATTTTTACTCTTTTATTTGAAACCATTAGACACTGTTCTGCACACAGAAATATAGAACACTGAGGAGGTAGGAGGCTTAGGCTTTGTGATTTTGAAGAAAAATATTCTATGGTATGCCTTTTCTTAAACTGCCCTCTGAAGCTCATTCCTGGGGACGATTTTGGCTTTGATGTTTTAATGAGTTTGTAAGTCATTCTGGAAGTGCATTCTTCATTCATTTTCTTGATTCCATGCCCTTCTCTTCAGCCAGAACACTGAATGAAAATTTAAAAAAACAACATTGCTCTAGCAGAACAAAGGTCTCTTACTCTTTGGTCCCTGTCTTTCTTTCCCTAATCCTCCTGAATAAGGGAACAAACATCTGCACTGGATCAGTTCAAGTTACGAAAAGGCAAAGAAGAACATTAGTAATAAGATTAATAAGACTTATAACTTATTGTAAGTTGAAACCTGAAATTATAAAGGACATATGGTTTTCCAGGGTGAAGAATTCATTTACTTTAGCTTGAAGCAAGCTCCTGAGAATTAATAACAGGGAGAAAAGATTCAATCCCTGCATCTTAAAATGTTCCCTAGCTGCCGGTGTTAGCGAGAAATTTCACATGCTCCCTGTCCCTCCCTCTCCCTCTTACCCATGTCCCCAAATTCCTGTGCCATGGCAATTTCAACGTAAGTTTGGGTTTCCAACTTCTAATATAACCAGAAGCTGCACTTTATTGACAGAAAATAGATTGATAGCTTGTAGTGCTAGTGCTCCATCTATTATCAATTAAAAGGATTTAGGAGTCCTGTTTTTGTTAAATAGCAATGTCCGTCCTTGTCTCAGAATACTCCAAAGTCTGTGCTTAAAAGCAAACTGTCGTTCCATCCTTATACTGAGCTTTCAGAATGCTTCATCTGTGTGTCAGCACATATTGTCTCTCTTTAACATCCTCCATAAAGTATTAGGACACAGAATCCTTCAATCTTATTCCTACCCTTTTCCTTTTGTGTTATAACCTTAAGAACTTACTCATACATGAAAGGACCCCCTCCTTGACTGAGAGAGTGGATTTATACAAATAACTTTGAACATCTTGGCTAGATACTATGTTAGGATGTCCAGATCAATAATCTGACTCAGAACTCAATGAACCTCAGTGAACTCAATGAACACATTGAGAGAGGCTAAGAGAGGCTTCAGGACTTCAGGACTGCTTGGGTGTAACTCTGCCATTGCCACCTACATTACCTGTGCACCTTGAGGAAATTACTTAGTATCTGTAACATCTCTGTATATTACTCTATAAACTAGAGCATGGTTGCTAGTTATTTAATATGGGTATTGAAAACTCTCCATGAGATATGCCTGCAAAATTTTTATGAATAAACGTTGTTACATGTTATTCATTATTTGAAAATCATCTATTTTTTTACTTGCTGCCATCTCTTCTTCCCTCTTTTTCCTGTTAAGTACACCTGCTGGGTCTTTGTACTCCTAACAGTGCAGGTCCCACTGGGCATGACAAGGAACCTCTACACTGTAGGCCTGTCTGGTTCTTGCCTCACAAATGCAAACCTTGTCAAGAGAGTGCTCTCTCTATAACCTATCTTATATTTCTGTTGGTGGTTAATGAGAGGACATTTCTGAAATCCTACAAGTCATACACAGAAGACTGTGGTTAATGCTACCTACATAAACATCTATTATTTAGCTTCCTTACCTACTTAAACCTTGTCTTCACATTGATGTGATCTAGATCTAAAATATTCCTCCAAAACCTCATATGTTCATGGTCTCGCTTGGGGCCTTTGGAAGTTGAATGGAGGTGCTGTCCCCAACAGTGGGTAATTCCGCTGATAAATTTAGAGCTGAAAGTGCTATTAGGAAGTGGGGCCCGGTGGGAGGAGGTATGCCACTTTAGGTGTGACTTTGGAGCTTCTTTCTATGTCTGTTTCTGTTTCTCTTTCTGTCAGTTTCTGTTTCTGTTTCTCTCTCTCTTTCTCCCTTCCTTCCTCCTCTGGTTCGTCCTCCTTCCCATGCTTCCTGGCTACAAATGGTTCAGCAGCTTTCCTCTGACATGTCCTTCCACTATGGTTTTTCTGCCTTAAAGCCATCAGATCTTGACTGAACCCTAAGGAAACTATGAGCTAAAATTAAAATCTCCTTTTTAAATTTTGTGCATCAGCAACATGAAAGGTAATATATAATCACTATCATCTGAGTAAAAAACTGCTGATAGCCTGGCATGGTGTCACATGTTTGTAATCCCAGTACTCAGGAGGCTGAAGCATGAGGATTGCTATAAGGATGAGGTCAATCTGGGCTATATAGTGAGTTCAATGCCAGTCTGAACTACATGACCTTGTCTCAAAAAAACAAATAAAACAAAATAGATGCTGAAATCTTAGCATCTTCTGTGGCATTTTATGTAGATTATTTCAATTCTAAAAATCTCCTCAAGGTGCTTATTGCTATTCTACTATCACATATAAGAGAAACAAGGCAGAGAAATTGAGCAACTAGCCCCAAACACGCAAGCGATGAGTATCTGAGATTTGAGCTTGGGTTATAATTGAGGTGTGTCTGCCTCTGAAGGCAGCGCCATTATCATTGTATATGGAGTTCCACAAATAGAATGGACTTATACTTTGGCATTTTTTCTCCTAACACAGACAATACATCAGACTTGTGATTATTCTCATTTCTTAGCAGTACTTCTAATGAAGTAGAGTCCTGCCACATGTTTATGAAGAATAAATGGATATAGGAATACATAACTCAACTCTACTTTCCTTAGAGAAGGAGTCGTGACCAGTGACTCTGTTGGCTGGATTTGTTAGCTGTCATAATGGACCTAGAATTCTTAAAGAAGTAAACTACCACATCTATTGTTTACAGACTGTTAACAATGTTAATAAATCAGAAAAAAGCTCCAAAATCAAACAGGTGTCCGAATCACATTTATTTCTACCTAATACAGACAGAATTGGGAATAATATCTAACAGTTATGTCCTTAATTTGATCATTAGGAACATAAGAAAAGACCAGTAGTTGTTTTATCCACCTTCGTATTTAAGTGGCCTCACAACAGCAGCGTTGTTCCTGTTTTCTTCATTAATACTTATTGACTTGGTTCCTAAGGCTGTAAAATAGAATCAACTCTCTTTGTTCTTTATCTGCCAATTCACAGATGTTCTACCTAGTGGTGATGCACCTGAAGGATGCATGCTGCAGCAGGCTGTTTGTTATCACTGAAAGCACTACAAGGTTTGCCTTCTCTAGTAAAGCATACCTATTTTCGTTTCACTGCATTCTGAGTGTGGTCCTACTGGCATCATTTCCAGCATGGTGAGTGGAAATAGACTTCTCATTGGGCAGTAAGGTTATTCCAAGTTTCACAGTGAAGCCCTATAACTGCCACTGTGCTGAAAATGGATCTCATGGTGTCTTCTATTTTACTGTCCTGTGAACCCAAATGTCAAGAAGTAATGAAAATAACAATAACTAGAAGCACGGGTCCGATATAACTACAAATTCCTGTTCCAAAATTATTTTCCACCTTTAAACAAAAGGGTGGTATGTAATGTGTAATTAGGAAATTTTCTTTCGATATTTTGGAGTTCCTTTGCTTTAGTCAAACACATAATGTAGTATTGATAATGGTACATAATTGAGATATTTGAAGGAAAATGTCACTGTGCCTGTCTGCACTTTAAGATAACAATGATATAAAAATATGGACTAAAACATGGAGCAAAGATGAAAATTTTATACCTTTGCATAATGTTTTAAAAATAAAGTACATATTTAGAATTCAAATAAGTTGCAAAAGCAAGACATAAGCTAATGCTTTTATCTGCTTAGAATTTAAAAATAGTTTTGTTGCTCTAAGTTAAAATTGCACAAGAAGCAACCAATAATATGTGCAGCTGCTTGGGGATGTGCAGAAACACCCAACCAAATTAAAAAACATTAATTACAGTGTTTGGAATAGTATTATTCTCCCCCATGAACTTGGTTGTTTTCCCAGTGAAATGAAATGGTTCTAAAGCTTTTTTAGTAAGGTAACCTGGTGCATACATAGAACAAATTAAAATTGCTCCAAAAAGGGGTGATTAAAGTCAGATAGATCTACAACTGTTGACACACTTAAACCATACTTTCTTTTGCTGAGTGACCATGAGAAAAAAATTGCCGTGACTTATTTCCTTTTACTCCAAATTTTAAAAAAATGCTTACTTTACTAGTCTCTGCTTTTGTGCTCTGCTGATTGTGCTGATACATGGCTTACTTTCCACGTATTGATTTTCTGTTGAAAGAAGAATCTGCAAGGTGCTCCAAAATGAAAGTGCAGGGTTTTAAAGTCTAGAAAGTAGCGGCCGGTACTGAATCCATTTTCAAGCTGTGAGTGCCACGTAAAGGAGGTGAGTGCCTACTGCAGACTGGGTGCTGAGGATTTTGTGAGATATTAAAACTGTTACTCCAGGTATTCCTGAGGGAAGGAAGTACCACCCAGAGGCTAGGTATCCATCACCAGGCCATCTTAATGCTAATGTGACAGAGCCACATACGTGCCATGTGTGAGAAACATGATCATTAGTAAAATAAAATGTAGGACTGCTTGGGTTAAACCCTGGGGAAGACTAATCTTCAGAGAGGAGTCAATATCAAGGGCTCTAACTTTTTCTTCTCGTATTAGAGTCCTCTCACTTGAATTCCTGTTGTCAATAGGGATCCACTCAATTGTTTAAAACGGTCTGATTTTCTTATGGAACAGCAGGGGACATACAGAAACTATAGCTACAGAAACTACAGTTACAGAAGCTAATGTTACAGCCTGCATCTAAAGTATTATACCTTTCCAGCCAATTTAACTCTCTATTCATCTCTAAAAGAACATTTTAGACAAACTCTTCATTTCCCACCTTCTTGATTGCATCTCATTTGTTGTTGCTAGAAAAGAGTTTATTCCTTTCATCCCTTTGCTGCAGGGTCAAGAAATGATATTAATTCTGCTCCTCAATGACATCTTCCAACTATTTCTAGTTTTTAACCTTAGGAACAACGTTACCCTAGATGAATGCCACAGCAGCATGCATTTTTAAGAGAAAACTGGCTGTACATAGAAGAAGTGGCTTCATCCCTGGAGTTACAAAATATAACATTCTCTTAATATAGTATCATTCTCTTATTAAAGCATCATCGTATGTATTAATTACATTGTTTTTGGTCACAAGTAGAAGAAGACTGATCTAATTGGCTAAAACATTGAGGAAAAATGCAACACCTTGTAGCAGAAGTATGGCAGGCTTCAGGATTGGTTGACCCAGCAGTTCAAGAATGGCATAAAGGATTTGAGTTTTTTCCAGCACTCCATCTGCTATTCACAGTGCAGACTTGCTGCTAAAGCAGGATCCTTGGTTATCATAAAGGTATTGCCACTGTCACATGAAGCTTCAGGCTTTCTCAGATATTTTGGCTGGAAAGAGAGAAAAATACATTTCTTTCCAGGACTCTAGCTGTGGAGAAGCCTCTGGAAATCTCATTGCCTTGATTTGAATCACATGCAGGTACCTGAAAAGATGACTGTCTCCTGGGAAATGCTATGAACTTCTGGGCTATACCTGGCTTCTTGATTATTATATGAAGAAATTCTCACAATTGGCATAAACTCTGTGGTTTGTAATGGAATGAAATGAAATTTATTTTTTTTTTGATGATACATAATAGCATAGTAGAATTAACACTGGATCATCAATCCAATGTGTATCTTCTCATAAAACATTATTTATCCATACATGCTATTTGGATAACTACTTCATTGTGTTGTATACTTTCAAATACTACTCTTGACTTCTTTCCCAAGGGTCTCAATACTCATTACAAATAATGACCAGGAAGGTGTGGAAACACCTTGGTCTGAAGGCTGTCTCTGGAAACTTCAATGATATTTGGAGGATACTGGACATTCTATATTTTCTCTTATGCATTTTACATACATATTTACTTGTATGAGAGGACTCACATGGATCCTTCCTTCTTTAACCTACCATAGGTGTAGTGTGGGAGGTTTCTATTGTAACCTCTTCCACTTCATCAATTATCTATGCATCCCATGTCCATCTAGCTGTGAAACGTATAGGCTCTTTGGACAAGACTTTGTATAGAAGTGAGGTCAAGAGAGACTAAGAAGCATTTTGACACTAAAATGTGTCACTCATGTTGGCTATTGATAGCCATCAGTCAATTCTAGCCACTGTCAAAAGGAACTCCTCACTGAACATCAGTAGCAAAGACAGCTGGTATTGCTTTGCAATGTGGTCCTCATGCAAGTGAGTAGAGCCTGCCTGGATTGTGGGCTCATAACTTTGCATTCACTGTGCTCCTGGGTGGCAGCCATGGACCAGTGGGTAGAGGCCAAACTATCTCTGCAGCTCAACTTGGCTTTAGGTTGTAGTCTCTTTGGAACTCTTGTCGCAAGATTCACCAATTTTCATGTGTTCCTTTTTGCCTCTTTGACACAACCTAATGGGTTTCTTGTAAAATCTTTCTCATCATATGTTCCTCTCTCCCAATCAGTTGTTTATCCCTTGAGTTGTTTCTTCCTTTCTTTGAGAGTTTTGTGCCTTAAGAACGAAGGCAAGACTGCTACTTCCAATTTTCTATTTATATATTCAGGGGGTTGGGGTATTGCTCAGTGGCACAAACACCTGCCTGGAAAGTGCAAGGTCCTGAGTTTGATTCCAGGTACCAAAAAAAAAAAAAAGTTAAAACATTTGTTTATATATTCTTATTGACCAAGCTACTTATTTCATCCTCTTTCTTAAAATATAGTCATTTTTTGTGCCTTTAATTTTCAATCAGTTTCACTGTTCTTCTTTGAAAATTGCGTACCCTCAGAATCTCTAGGACTGAAATACTATTTTTATAATCAGTGTTACCATGGGTCATTTAAAATAACTGGGTCATTTATTTTATACTAATGGCTTTGAGCCAACTAGAGGAGATTATATGATTCTTAGAGAATGTCTTTAACTTTTAGATGTAAACAGCTTATACAAACTTGCTTGGAATTTTAGAGAATCTTCAGAAATCAGAAACATTATATAATTAATTTAGAGGGATAGCCTAATAGTAATGGTTTTTTTTTAATATTACTTTCTTTTTTCTTTCTTTTGGAGGGATATAGCGAGTCGAACTCAGGACCTTGCACTTGCCAGGCAGGCACTTGTGCTGCTGAGCTATATCCCAGTCCCTATGTTACTTTCTATTCTAAGTATTCACTGATACACTTTTAATTAATGGAACAGTGTTTTGTATATGTAATGACAATAATGGATAGTGTTTAACTGCTTTTAGAGATTACAGAATATTTACTTATTTTTATCTCAATTATCTTTACCTTGTGATAGAAGTATAACTATTATGTTTATCTTACAGTAAGTTTAAACAAAAAGCTGAATGTCATACAGTGTGGTAGAGTTGCTACTTGGACAAAAATAATCTAACTCCAAAACTCATACTTTTTCCAGCTCCAACCTACCGATATTTACCACTCAGAAAGCCCCTGTATTAAAATTTTCCTTAACCTCTATGAATATTTGCCTCTTCTATCACGGAAACAATCTATAGACACACATATCACACATACACAAAATAAATAAAATCAACAACAAAATTTAGATATATTTGAATAAAATGAAGACAACAGGATTTTGCAATTTTGATGCTAAGGAAGAATGCTAAAAGGGATTTTGTTTTTTTGAAAGGACATCTACTGTTCCACAATCTATGGTCTGATTACTCAGAGATCTATCTCATTTTTGTTGAAGGGTGATATTACTCTTGCAAAATTATAGGCTAATTAGTTTCTTAGACACTCAATCTCAAAGGAAACTCAATGCCAATTGCCTAATTGATATATTGTAAACTTCATTTTCCGAGGTCAGTATTTCATGAGAGGAGAAGGAAAAGTTTATACTGAGAAGAAGAGAAACAGTTGCTGACAGCCAGGAATTGTCTGTCCTGCATCATTAGTCAGGTCTTGGTGCTGCAAGGAGCTGAGCTGAACTTCACATCACAACCTGGGATTCTCCTGTCCAGCAATAACAATCTCCAAAAAGCACTAGCATCCAACAAAGCTGCTCGATGATCATGATGAAGTGGAACACAATAAAAGACTGCTTTATAAGCTTGGGTCACAAATGAAACAAGCTCACTGTGCAAACAAGCAAATAAAAAATACTAGACGTTACCCTACCCCTGCTAATATGATGACTACTGTTTGCTCTTCTTTTCTTCTTTTTTTGGGAGGGATTTTATTAATTATATCTCCAGTGTTGTTCTATACTTTTTTTCCATCCAGTATAGGGTCTTTGAGATTATCAAAGTTCTAGTGTATTCTTGTTTTATTCCTTTATATTGCTGAGTAATGTCTCATTACATGGATGTAATACCTCATCCAAAAGGACAGTTTGGTTATCTCTACCACCTAGGAATAAAGCTTCTATG